GGGCTAACGTTAGCCCGTCTGCAGCAGCCCTCTCTCTGTATAGCCATGTGTGAAGTACCTCTGGCTCTGATGGAGGTTTGACAGTGTTTATTATTATTCCCTGAATGAATGAAAAAGTGATCATTTATTATTATCTAGAGACTATTAATAACAGGAGGTAAGATGCAGCTCCAGACGAGCTTTGAATGTGATGATGTCATCAGTACGCTTCTTTTCCAATTGATCCATATCTATGCTGCGTGCTCCCGTTCTCCCCGAGTCCAGACTTTCCTGGGTTCTTCTCAAGAACAGACTTTGTGAGAAAACGAGTCCATACTCGTGTTCTTGTGAATTGACTGACATGGACTGAGTCAAACCCCAAACAACATGGCTACCAAATTAACTGAATGATTCATATTTTCTGATGAACACATACAGCACTTATTTTTTAATCTTTACATTTAATTTTTACAGCTCGGGAAAATATTGCGTATTTTGACACGTATCGTGACACCGGTGCCGACGCTCACCCCCAGACCAGTTCCATCCCCACAGCCTGCACTCTGGGTCCCTGAGCCAGACCCTTAAGCCCACACTGCATCGCCAAGGGGAGGGGTTAAATACAGAGTGTACATTTCTCTGACGTGAGATCAATAAAAACAACAGACCTTAAAATAAGAGTCATTAAGACCCCCCCACCTGCCAGAGGACTGAATCATGAGGAGAAAGAAAACTATGAAACTTTTTCACAGGCAAATCTTTATCATCTGGGGAAGAAATGGTTTCAGTTAAAGGTGTTCCTGAGCGTGCTCTGTACCTTGGTATGGAATAGGAGGTCCTGCCTCAGCATCATCAGCAAGCAGCCCTTGTCCAGAGTAGCCCTCCCTGCAGCACACAGAAACAGCACTGAAGGAGGGAACTGCAGTGAAAAAGGCAGATCTACAGAAACCCTACGGAATCTAAAGGGTTTGCAGGCTTCCTGACTGTTTTTATTTAGACTGTTTTTGGTCCACTTTTCTCTCTGGCTTCCTTGTTTACAGGTTGCAGCAATTTTACCAACATATAATACCAAACGTCCTGAAAATCCTCGCTCGATTGGATCAAGAAGCAGGAAGTAAACACAGTATACAATAAGTAGTTGATTTCTGTAATGACATGACTACTAGCAAAAATATATTTTTCTGGATATCTGTAATGCTATATTAATTCATTTCATTATGACTAGCAGTAATTCTTTTATAGCGATCTTAAATTTGAGTTCATTCTGGTCAGAATTTACATAGGAAGAATGTTTATTTTAAATAAGAATAATGTTATTTTAGATATCTGGAAGTAAAAGCCCAATAAACATGAATGAGAAACGTGATGTCATGTTTACTAGTAAAAATTACATTTCAGATATCTGAGAAGTTCATTTTGAGTAGGAAGAAATGCATTTGAGACATCTGGTTTACATATTCAGTCAAGCTAATAAATGTCAATACGGCCTGCCATACTCTGTCTTCATTCTGTCTTCATGAACTGATCAGTTGTTCTGTCAGAACAATACTCTGTTTGTAACCATGCGTCATGTTCTGTTAATAAAAGACGGCTGCAGGAGGGGATTTGGAGAAGGAAAGCTTGAAGTTGGGTTGGACTTTTCCTTCTGCTCCTGCAGAAGCTGCTTGAATCTCTTTCCTGTGCAGACTCAATTTCTATTTATTTGCAAACCTACATTTTCTGAATCCAACACTCTGTTTGCTCCGTGGTGAGAAAAAAATCAACCGGGCGGAAAAAACAATTTTATATTGCACTCCGGAAAGAACGGACTCCGTCTTCGCTTTTGTCAACTTTATTTGACCCACTCTGCACGTTTTTTTCTTTCTTTCCTGATTGTTCTCTCTGAGTGTCTATCAGCATGGACACGCAGATAAAACCATCACACTCTAGCCTTCTTCTTTTTCTTCCTTGCAACTCCCGCCACTAACATTGACGTAGTGCCTTGATCAGATGTGCCTAAACAATAGCAACTAGATGCGATGATCTAAACAACAGAATTGACCAAAAAAATAATGGTTGCATTAAAAAAATCCATAATCCCGTGAACAAATGTTATATATCGCAATAAAAAATGCTCAGGGTGCAACACTAGTGAAGTGAATTTGATTTCTGAAACTATGGACCTAAATTGGATTGTTATTGAAGTTGATATCCTTACGTCGGTAGAAAGTCCTCAGGCTCTCTCAGCTGTCTGCACTCTGTTTGTATTGAAGGAGGAGGATACGTGTTCAGGTTCTCTGAAACAGACAAAGAAATAAACACGTTTAAATTCAACAGAGTCAATGAATCGATGAAATCAGCTGGTTTAACTTTTAAAGCCAGAACACACCGAATACGATTTCGCATTAGATCTGACAGAAAATCGTGTCGGACGACGTCGTGGCGTTTAGCGCTCACTGAAAGTCAATGGGGATGATTTCCTGTAGGGGGCAGCGTAGCTCCGACTGAGATAGAGCCCGAGTCTATTTCAGTCGGAATACGCAGCAATTCAGACAGTGGCGGCTGGCCAGTAGAGGGCGCTAGGGCGCAGCATCACCAACTGAATACGCTGAACAAAATAAAAAACGAATGTAACTGATTTTAAACGCTAAGAAGAAAAATCCTGCTGAAGTTTCTCTTACTGCTGAGGACAGAAAGGAAGACTCTGAAGAAGCGCTGAACGTAGCCCTGCTCCTGGGTCTCAAGCCGGCTGATTCGGACCAGGTGCTGACGGGTAGGTAGACCAGCCATCTCCCTCACTTGGGTCTGGTTGTACCGATCACCGACTGCCACCACAAACATGGCCACGCCCTCACACTTGGACTTCACGGAGATGTACCGCAGCCAGTCTCGGTCTCTGCTCTCTGTTCGGGAGGCGACGACGGCCATTAGAGCCCTTCTTCTACGTGGCAGGGCACCCTTCTGCAGCACCTCCTTTATGGTGTAGTCAAGCGTTTGTCCCAAAATCGAGGCACCGCTCTGCTGCTGCATTTTCTCCATCAGGTGTTGCTTCATTACAGCTTGACCCTGGTAGGTCTGCAGGTCGAACTCCACCCTGGCCTCCTTGGTGCCGCTCTGCTGGACCACAGCAATGCGAGCCTGGTTTCCAGGTCTGCGGGGCTGAGAACTTAGCACCAGCTGCTCCACCACAGAACCCAGCAGCTGCTTGGCACCAGCGTATTCATCCGCCTGCATGTTCCTGGAACTGTCCACAACTATAGCCAGGTCAATATTGGCCTGCTGAGGCGGCACCGGGATCTGGATGAAGGAGCACTCCTCTGAGCGTCTGCAAGGATCTGATGAAACACAGAGGAATTACATGAAGATCAGATAGCAACGATAAATGATTACGCTTTTATTATAAGCCATTAGAAGTTCTTACTTATCCATAACATTTTATATTAACAGAATAAACAGGAACAAAGGTACCAAATATATTGACAGGAACCAAATGCACCTAAGCTTCAACATGTTACAAGGTTGGATGCAAAGAAAGGTTGAGCTACTGTCACACTTCAGGCCTTCTTGCGCAATTACGAATTTTTTTGCGTGGTCTTTCACATTTCCAAATGAATGCGACTTGAATGTGATCTCCTATCTGAACTGCATTCTTACATCTTAAGCCTCCAGCACCAACAGTAGAGGACGCCACAACATCCCAAGAGAGCGTGCTTTTTGTTTACAGGCATATATATTGCCTGACCTGTCTTTGGACTACCATTGGATTCTGCCTGTTCACGACCTTTGATCCGTCTCTTGACATTGGCTTGGACTTCCCTTTGGTACCTCTTCAGTCCTCTGATCCTCTGCCTGGACCTCAACACCGGCCTTCTGATTTTCCTTCCAGATACTCCAGCTCTTCCTTATCTCCTGGCTTCTGCTCATCAATCTGCTCTGATTCTACTCCTGGAACTCTATGGAGTTCTTTCTCTGTGGAGAAATAATCCGTCTGGAACCGCTCCTTCCTCTGGGCTCACACTGAACTTAAAAACCAGGTTTGTGGCTCACATGCTCGCTATCGTTCCTCATCAGAGTTTTGGTCACTAACCTGAATTTCTACCTCTACAGAGATTCCAGTCATCTTGTCCAAGCTGACGAGCCTCAGATCCCTGAAGAGTTAATAGACACTTTGAAGTCACTTCAGTTCTGTCTGCCTGAATTCTGGGTCCTATATTCTGAGTTCTGACACTTGGCGGCATTGGAAAAAACCAGACCTGTGTTGTTCCGAATGTCATGAAAGATCAGATTCAGGTTGCATGTGGGCAAAAAAAAATCCAATTTGGATCACTTCAGAAACCTTTGATGAGTATAAATGGTGTTCAAGGAGACAGTGTGCAATCAGTATGTTATAGGATGGAGAGACTAAGGAAAGACATTCAACATGAGAAACGGTTTTAAATTAAAGTTCTTGAGCAGGAATGAAGCTACTTACCATAACAGATGGTGCAGGTCTTGACCCGCTCCAGGTCTTGCGGACGTGTCAGAGTGAAGATGGATCTACCAGACGCATCAGTCTGCAGGGAGGAAACGGAAGCTGCTGTTATCTTCAGCTCATTCCGATCCAAGAGACAAATATGATTGAAGCTGAATCCCTAATAAAGCAGTGGTTTAAACCTCTGCCACTAGATTCCACTAGATTTTGGCCATGTTCTCTAGATCAGTAAGGTTTCTGGGCTGTCACTAAGAAACACTGAGTTTAAGCTCCCTCCAAAGATTCTCTATTGGGTTTAGTTCTGGAGACTGGCTAGGCAACGGCAGAAACTTAATACGCTTAAAGGAATAGTACACCCAAAACATGATTAGCCTTCATTTTCTACTCACCCCCATGCTGAACAACACTCTGGAGTACTTTTTTG